ATTATTATACACTCACGCGCACTTAACCAATCAGTAATCGTTGAGAGGGTCACGTGCCGATCCAATATTTTACGATATTGGACAGGAACCTATTGGACACTTGCGAATTGTGGCTTTTTTCATGGTTTTTCAACCCTTTTCAGATGTTTTGTCAATTTCAAACATACGACAAACGATATGGCAGAATAATGAAAAGAATTTGGGACATTAATACAGTTTTTTCCACCAGTTTTGTTTAAAATTATAAAAGCGCGGGAAAACTTGTCTTCGCGAAATTTATTTGTTTGCAACAGCCTAGAAGTTCGTAATATTATTTTTTTCGTTAAAATTAGGTCAAATTTCCTTTCAACATACATGGAATTGAGTTTATTTATGCACACATATTTGTAAAAACAGGTTTATTAACTTTTTTTTTTAGTTATTTAAGCAAATTCGCTGCCGATATATGTAGTAATGTAGTCGCTTTATTAGTCTCGCTGTATTTACTTTATCGCTTATTGACAATTTTTGTTATAGAATTGTTTTGTTCGATATAATAAAACTCCTATTGGATTCATCTTCGCCCAATATGGCAAAATATTAAGTCTCGACTTCAATATTAGGCTCGACCTTCGGTCTCGCCCAATATTGAAGTCTCGACTTAATATTTTGCCATATTGGGTTCAGAAGAATCCAATAAGATATAATATACGGCGAGTAATTCAACCAATCAGATTGCAGAACAGCTCATATACGGTGATTGACTATATTATATATAATCATATACCCATTTTATTCTTGTTTTTACTGTAGATAATACATATGCAGTACTCTGTGATTCATGTAGCCAATTATAAATTATACCTAAGTCAATAGTGAGATTTACAATTGTATATATACGTAAGAAATTCAATAAAGTTTTCATTATTATTATTATTATTATTAATACTATAATATTTGTACACTGGCTGCAGGAGACCACACTGTAGTACTATATCTGTTTCGAAAATGTATTTATTTTGCCTTTTATCGAAATGTTATAGTTAACCGCCTCGTTGTGAGTGATGATAATTGAATAATTACTAGCAGTTTTAAAAAAATATTTCCAACATTGCTTCTTCGCAGTATTGTAGCCACCATGTCGTGCTACAGCTTTCCCTAATCAATCAAGACATGTTCTAGAAGCTCTGCGAAAGGAATTGTTCCAAATTCATTTATGCATGGCAATGATAATATGAAGCAATCATCCAATAACATCACCTGATCTAATCTGCATTGAACCGTATACTGTTGAAATGCTAATAAGCAAATTTCAAAAGATTCGTGCATGGCAAGCCGTCTTAACACAAAATCGTAGAGCCCTTGAAGACTATATATTATACGTATAATATATTAATAGTACTGGCAGATATTCTTTGAACATTTCTATGCTATATTTCTATGGTTCCGATAATTCCATAATATTAAAATTAATACAGTAGGCCTATCACGAGTACAGTAATCAGTTCTCTTCCGTTTGAACTTGATTTCGTCAATGCGTGGGCAGGTGGGAGTTGAAAGTTTGCGTAATAAAGATTTTCAATTGGCATCCGGTGCAATCAGTAAGTGAGTAATTTTTCAATATACCAAAATTTAGCGCAAATCAAGGCGTCGTTCCTCTTCGTTCGTTCAAGCACATTTAATATTACAAAGGTTTTAATTTTACGATTGAAGATCGGGGATTTTGTCTTTATATACTACCTTCAGTAAGTAACTATCGTTGTTCCATTTGATTTACTTTATGTTAGATATTATATTTAGTAATTATAACGGATACATATATATGTTTCAATAATAGTCGTACTATAATGTAGCTTTGGTCGACCATTTCATTGGTACGCTTGTTTGTGGCAATCTCGCTCCGAACAGTCCGAAGCAAATCGACTAGAAAAATTCATTTCAGGAATTTGAATCGAAGTAACAAAACAAGTCGGGGTAGACATTTCCCACTATATTCACACAACCACCATTCACTACATTTCCTACTAAATTCCGAAAAACCCTTCAACCATATTTAAGTTTGCTATCCAGTCCTGTCAAATGGATATCTTAGCCCACCTTATGGTTACATAACATAAAGAATTTGACTATTATGATATAGCTTTGCGTGTAACAGTATATATGTATGCAGTATATATAAAAGTTATGTTTCGGAGCCAAGCAGGAAATTGTTAAGAATAAAAGTGCAACGTTTCACTATTGCCAGTAATTAAAGCTCTTTTCCTTTCATCGCAGAAACTTTGCAAGCTCACTGCCAGCACTTTCATCCAATCACAACGCTTGACAATTTTTTTAAAATTAATTAAGATCGGGTTTGCAAGTTGGTTTTGCGATGAGTGGAAGGAACCTTTAGCTAGCCGGCCTATACTGGGTTAGAAGTATAGAATTTACATCACAAACCAACATTCTTACATGCATACATACATAATACTTTATCAACATCAGCTGTTTTCAACGACAATAATTTGGTGATACTAATTAATTTACTAAAGATAAGTCGACGAACATGAACAGCACATTAAAATGTACCTCAGTAATAGATGTCCGAGTGCGCAAGGGAGGGTAGAAGTAAAAAAATTTTAAACTTAAAAATAATTATATAGTTTAATATTTTTGTTTGTGGAAACACCACGTAAATTTATTACTGCAAAGCTTTCGACCAGTAAGCCCGGATCTTCATCAGTGCTAATAATTTGTGATAATCTATCATCAGCACTGATGAAGATCCGGGCTTACGGATCGAAAGCTTTGCAGTAATAAATTTACGTGGTGTTTCCACAAACAAAACTGTTATATGTTTTATCGCCATGCAAACATACAAAGAACTTAATTATATAGTTCTTAAAAGCTAAAATATTGTCGAACAAGGACCTTTATACTTTTTCCGTAAAGCGTGATCGATGCATGATTTCGCTAATCCATGATCGATTCGTATATAGTCAGACGTAGTCGTTATTTTTAGAAGATCGTCGTATATTTAATGGTTGATCCTTGAAAGAAGGATATGTATTATGGAAATAACTACGTGATTTGAATATAAAATGCTTGTTATTTTCCTTTCTCATGAAAATAGTTTGATTTCCTTGACCTTGTCATTCTAAGTTTCCTTTGATGAGGTAGCTATATAATTTAAGAAACTTATACACCCATCTATACACTGACTGAAATAATAAGTGTATGTATTCAGGTAAGAAAGTTTGAAGCGACAAATGTATAAACAATAATAGAATTAGACCGTATATACCGTTTAATATATATATAATACTTCAGTATATTCCTCTTCTCAACTATATAGCCATCAATTAACTAAACAATCTTATATATATGCATGCTTTCTGAGAAATGAATTTATTTTTAACCAAAATTAGTAACGAATTTATTATAACATGCACTACACTAAACTAAACTTACAAAACATTTATACTAGATTACTGATATTTTCACAACGCAATTGACCATTGCGTAATAGACTAAATTTTGATATAAACAAGTCTAGACAAAAAATTCATCATAGCTTGAAAGAGCATCACAAAATTAGTAATATTCCAAACTTTCGTTGCGAAATGTTGTAAAATTCGGATAATATAGCCTTGCGAAGTTTGCAATTTTCAGTCATTTTAGATTACAAACGGGAAATTGACAGCCCCAAATTAAAGGGTATTATTGGGCTGTCAATTTCCCGTTTGTATAATCTAAAATGACTGAAAATTGCAAACTTCGCAAGGCTATATTATTCGCATTTTACAACATTTCGCAAAGAAACTTTGGAATATTACTAATTTTGTGATGCTCTTTCGAGCTGTGATGAAATTTCTGTCTAGATCAAAATTTAGTCTATTACGCAAGTGGTCAATTGTCTCTTTCTTTTTTAGCGTATTCGGAGGATACAAAAGATATATATCGATCTCAAAGCGCGTCATGATATTTCCAGCTATATATGTCTCAGTAACCTTGTTTTTGATTCCATCTTTATATGGAGACGACGATGACTTGTGTAAAATTGCCTTTGAAGATGAGGGATTACTAGATGATGCTTTCGATTGCAATACAACCAGCTTAACCAATCTAACAAAGGAAAGCGGTAGGTGGAACCAAACTCATACCGATATTACCGTCGTATTTTATATACCAAGGTCCAAGATATTATATAATAGAGATTTCTGTTATTTTGGCATGGGTTAATTAATTTATTATTCAATCAACTGCACGTTCTGTTTTGGCTGAAACAAACCAAAACAAAGAAAGTCAAAATGTTCAAAATTTTCAGTTGCACGACTCAGCACGAGTAAATCTATTGGAAAAATAAAGGAAATTACGGATATTCTGTGCTTCTTAACAATTATATTTATTTATTTATAATTATTTCTTTTTCTTTATGTTGTCGTATTTCTTTTTCTTTTATTGCATTTCTTTTCTTATTCCTTTTATTTTTTTATTTTTCCCTTTTATTTCTTTCTTTTTTTTGTATTTCTTTTACCGTTTCAATAGATCCATCGCCAGAAATGAGTCCGTTGATTGAACAGATTACCCTGTAAGATAACCTAACTATCAGTCGGTGCTTTCATTAGGAAGCTAGCTTGCAAATTGTATCTCGATTTTCCCCGTAATGATCCCACACCATTGCGGTGCCAAGGAAATTAGGTATTGCTTTATATTCGCTGCGTGAGTTTGTTAATTCGTTACTGAAGTTTGTTAGTCTGTTAGTTTTACCGCACCTATTTTAATAAGCTGATGATAGAGTTATGCTCAACACGTTGTAATTTATTAAAATAACTAGAACAATAGTTAATACATGCATGCAGCAACCCGTCCCCTTTAGTTTCCTAAACATTGCTTGGACATGAAGTATTTTAAAATACATTACGTTAACACTGAATGCAGGCTCATATTGCTCGCGTCATGTTAGCCACGACTACACGAATAGTATAACCTTTAATTTAATTAAGGCAAAATTCAAACTTGGGCACTTCATGAAATGTCCATTTAAACTGTATAATATATGCTGTTTCAATTGTTTGGCTGTTTTAGCCGATTAACTTGGCCTTTTTGTTAATTGCAACAAATCAGTTCCAATCATACAGTTCGCT